TTTTTTTTTTATAAAATATGTAACAAACATGGAATTTGTAAAAGAAAATGAAATAAAATTATAGTGTGAAAAACTAAAACTCGCTTTTATTACAATGTGAAGTTCACATTGTTACGTTGTGAACTAAAAAGTAGAAAATAATTTGTAGAAATACAGATTTCGTTTAAAAGGAATAGGAAGTTCCCTAATTTGATTTGATTAAACTTTTAAAACCAACTTAAAATAATATTAATGTAATTGACAATAAAGTTAATTTTATCGGAAAACAAAACGTGGGGTGCTTGATATCAATTGTTTTGAACTTTTCATTTTCAGTTTAGTACTATTGAATATTGTCAATAGCAGGTCTATGAGATCTAAGAAGCATCCTAAGCTTTGTTTTCCGGTAAAATTAATTAATTAATTAATTCGTTAATTCTATTTTAGGTTGGTTTTAAAAGTTTAATCAAATCAAGTTAGAGATTTTCCTATTCCTCTTAAACGAAATCTGTATTTCTATAAATTATTTTCTAGTTTTTAGTACACATTGTAATAAAAGAGAGTTTTTAGGTTTCTAAACTATAATTTTATTTTCATCTTTTTATTCTTAAATTCAATTGATTTTAAAATTATTATGTATGTATTAACGAATAGAATAACACGCGAAATCAATCGTTGGAATTTTCATTCGTACTGTCATTAGGTATGTAACTTTATAGTGGTAATTGCATCTCTTAGGCGCATCATTATTACATAGTTACATCCCAAGCCAATAAAAGCGAGGTAAAAACGTAAAAAAAATATCCAAAAATCGGATCTTTGAAACGTTTTAAAAAAAAACTGAACTGTCCAACACGGAACCGGTTAAAAACTAGTTGCAAAGTAATGCACTGGGCGATAATTGCCACCGCCAATGACATCGCCGTGTAAAACTGGACAGTTGAAAGCATTGCTAGGGTATTGAGCTAGAACTAGTACTGTCGGCAAAGGTTTAATTCTACGCTAGTTCTGAGTTAGTCAGATTTTCTGCAGGGGTCTTATGTACATACATATGTATGTATGTAGCCAGACACATAGCTGTATGTAAGTTCTTAAAGGTAGATATGTATGTATGTTGTATGTTTTGTATGTCAGCTTGTGGAAACACTTCGAATGGTGGTTCGAATGGAGTTGCCTGTACGTGCTGCCCCATAGCACGGAGTGTTCTTGCGACGAGCCATCTGTTGCTGTTTATTTAACTTCTTAGTTGAATTCCTGTTGGCGTCACCACTGACTCGGCAATTATTCTTGTAGCTTTGGTCTTTTTTACTTGGCTGTTTTAAACATGAAGCTCTTATTCTCACATGTTTGTACATAATTATGAAATATGCTTACTTCACTTGATCATCATCGTTGAAGGTATTGCAGGTACTACTTTTACAAACTTTAATTATGAAATTTCATAATTAAGATCGTCATTAACTTTGTGATTTCCATTTTGTTCAGCTACATAACCAATGGCCTGGCATTTCCCGTCTGTATTCAATCTACTTAATAATGACGTTCATAAAAAATGCTGATTCGGTTGGATATTTTGTTGGAAAAGCGCGAATTCTAAGCAGATAATTTGTTTCTAATCGCTGTGGCTCAAATTCGTATGGATATATAATATTCGACTTTGGCTTCAAATGTGTACATATGTATGCATCGGCAAGTGGCTGCGTCTGTGCGCGGTATTT